GGGGGCTTTTCCATGAGGCTTGCCAGTGTACAGTCAGGCCTTCCAGGCATAGCTAGACCGGGCATCGCATGTGACCCAGAGCTTCATCCCATACTGGGCTGGTTTACTGGGCATGTACTGCCTAAAGGGACAGCGCCCTGATCATGGGGTGGGAGAGGGGTTGGGGGGATAGGGATGGGAGGCAGGGGGGAGGGGGTGCAGGAGAGAAAGGGGAAGAGGGGGGGGGGGGTAGGGGAAGAGAGAGGGGGGGTGGGAGAAGGGGTAGAGAGAGAGAAAAAAAACAGATGGAATAAAAAGATAATCAAAGATGTTATAAAAAAAGAGATAGAGAGACTCGCCTCAGAACGAGACCAGACGCTCATCCATGGTCACCTCGGCCCCAGCTTGTAGTGGAGTGGCAGCTGCTCGGACTACGAGTCCCAGAGTTCCCTTAAGGTGGCCAGCTTGTCCAAGGAGCACCTGGCAACTCTGGTCTCTCGGTCATCAAACCTCAGCAGCCTCGAGTAGGAGCTGAACATGCTGAGTGATATGGCGGTGCGGAAGATGGGCCTGCCAGTCTCCACGTCCCAGAGGCTGGAGGCCACCTCACCCCTTGACCTGTACATGCCGGCCAGGACCAGGAGCTCGAGGTAGGTGCGCATGTCGACCTCATCCGTGGGCCTCCAGGAGTCCCCGTGCCTGTGGGCCCCCTACAGTTTGGTGGTGTCCAGCACGATCTTCTCCACCCAGGACATTTTGTTGGTAGGAATTTTTTGTAACTTCTTTTGACAAAAAGTCGTGCCAACAAAAAGTCCTTCCGAATAAGCCCAACCCCTCGCCATAGGTGGTTTGGGTCGTTTTGACCCGCGGGCAGCCATTTGTTTTCCTGGAGGAAGAGAGAAAGAGAAAAGAATGACCAGTTGGTATCTGCCAACCACCACACTCCCACCAACCCAGAGGAGACAAAAACTACCAACAAAAAGCCCTTCTGAATAAGCACAACCCCTCGAGTGGTTGGCTTATTCTAGTCTGAAGACTGGAGAAGTCTTTCGGATGAAAGAAGAAATGTTTCAACATTTTTTTTTGTTAGTTTGTTTTGCTTTGTTTTTTGAATGTCCAGAGGACCAGACTTAGATTTTTCTACCTGGATTATTGAGCATGCATCGGATAATTTTAAAAACTTTTTAGCACTCATGTTTTGAATTTTAGGGTTATTTTTGCAGAGCTTGACCCGTAGAGTTCATGTTTAAACACGTTGGACATCAGTAGCTTTGCACAATGTTCTAATTTACAACATATTTGAGTCATTTAAATATAGTTAAATGTTTTTCCTGTCTATTTAAATCATCATTGCTGATTCGTGGGACCTGTCATCATAGGTCCTCCCAGAATTTCTGTTATTTTACTGAAACATCTTTAAAGAGGTTATTGGTTGTTAATGTGATCGTGAAAAGGCTGAGAATGAAAACCAAATGTAAGACAAATAAAGAAGAGAGGTATGTTCTGAAGCAGGAACAGACTGGGAAATAAAACTGATAAATGTAAGACAAACATATTTGTCATTTGTGATTCATAGTTTTTCCAACAAGAGGTGTTAGTGAACTGAAAAACATTTTTATTCTAATAATTTGTAAGCTAACAGATGTCAAAAAAGTACCTGAAAGTTCAATATGTAATTAATGTAACATGATTTTTTGTTACTTTTGTAAAAAAAAAAAAAAAGAAAAGAACGAAGAAACATATAATTTTAAATAAATAAAATCCTTGTTAGAATTATCCTAAAGAGGAGTTTGTTCTTTGAGTGGATTGATGATCCATTTAGGATTTATTCAGCACACCAAGAACAAGACAAAATGAGAGCATAACGAAGGTAAAATACAAAAAACTAGTTATTGATGCATTTTTTTAAATTCATCAGTAGGATCTCCATTATTCAGGTTGTTTACAAACTCATTGTAATTTCTATCTGCAACACAATAAAATAATATTCAAGTTCTATACACAGTAAACATGACTGATTACATTTTAACTCAGATGTTATAAAGTCTGGCACACAACAAATAAACCACTGAAATACACACTTTCTAAATGTTTAGGAGCAGACAAACAAGGTTGCATTTCTTTTTGCATCCACATTCTTGGAGGTTGCCTCCAATCCTATGAACTTTATACTTTTAAATAATAATGTCAGTTGTGGTCGCAGAAAGATGAAATTGCTTAGACATAGTCTTGTAGCCTCTACCTTGAAGAATTATTGTTTGTGAATTACACAGACAGCTCTTTGCTTCATGCTCAGTGGTGCACACACTGCCATACACTGATGTTTGTCCTCTTTAACCAAGCCGTCTCTGGTGAAAATCTTGAAGGCTCGTTTTTTTACTCAGTAAAGTCAAAAACTTAGTTTTGAACATGACTATGATTAGTGGTCTTTTTTACAGCACCAACAAATCTGTCTACACTTATATATATATA